AAGATAGAAACAGGGAGAGATTATTCTTTGCTTTCCTTATATGAATCCCATCTTCCCAGTAAGATTAAGATTTTGCCAAGGGCAGCACCCAAATGTCCTCATTCTCTTGCACATTAACATGGCTGAGCACACAGAGGGGACACAGGTAAGATTAGCTAATGGAGTGATTGCCCACAGCTTTTCAAGACCCCTGCTCAATGCCTAAAGCTAATGTTTTGGCTTCCAGGGCCAAGCTCCCTTTTAGCCACTCAGGACCTTCCCTGATTGCTTGCCACCTTCTGGTGCCCCACCTGCATTATAACTTCAACCATTTAATTAAGAGTGGGATTGATTGATTGACTCAACTGAATCACTCTATTCCCACTTAAAGTAAGGGACAGGATGTCCTGCTACTTAAGGAGGTGAGAATAAATTTCAATCAATTAACAGGCTTTAGACTAAGTGTGAAAAGTATTTGGAACTGGGGTAAATTTACTCAGGAAGAGTGTTCCCCTATGGGAAACTTGGTCATGCTCTAGAGATTATCTATTAATAAGAAGAAGTCTCTTTACTACCCTGTCCCTCATGAAGCATAATGTTTAGTTGGAATGGTACACTTGCTCCACCTTCCAGAATAACTTCGGTTCTTAAATGGCTTGATATTTAGAGACTATACTTAGGACCAACCAAGTTTTCTCAGCCTATGAGAATACTCCTCCTGTGTAAGAGTTACTTTTCAGTCTTACACTAAAGCCTGGGACCTATTCCTACCCTAAGGTATGAGGTCTTGTTGTTGTTCAGTTGTTTTTCAGTCATGTTCGACTCTGTATGACCCCATTTGGTGTTTTCTTGACAAAAATAAAATAAATGAATACATAAACTCTATCCTTTCACTGAGCTAACTAGTTGTCCCTCTTCTCACTGTCTCAGGAGAAGATGGGAATAAAGAGATCAATCACATACCATTGAGGCAGCTGTATAGCTTCACCGATAGAGCACTAGGCCTGGAATCAGGAAGACCTGAGTTCAAATCCAGCCTCAGAGACTCACTAGCTGTGTGATCCTAAATAACTCACTTAACCTCGGTCTAATCCACTGGAGAAGGAAATGGCAAACCACTCCAGTAACCTTGCCAAGGAAACTCCATATGGGGTCATGAAGAGTTGTATATGACTGAACAACAATAATCACATGCCATTGAAGTGTTTCCCATCATCTAGAAAAAAAAGGATAATTCAGAAGAAGAACATCAAGAACAATAATAAGAAGAAACTTCCTTCATCTCACCTTGTTAAACTTAATAGCAGAAGCTCATGATTGTAAGAGAGTTCCCTGTTTCAGTCCCTACTTGGAATATGGATCACTTCTAAATAATCTACATTTCATGCCTTTTTTTCAGCAAGGGATTTGGGGGGGGGAACCTTTCACATTTTTGCAGTTAGGCAAGAGTAAGATGATAACCTTGTCCCTTGGGCTTAATTTGTTGTGCCTTTCCCCCTTCTCATTTTTATGGGAGAGGAAAAGAATTTGGAGGTTGAGAAACTGGAGACCCCAATTCTTGAGAGCCCTTGCCAATTTTGGAAGAGAGGGCAGCATCTAATATGGATGCTAAATATAGTTTCACCATCATAAATTAAACAGGATGACATGAAATTTTGGACTCTGAGTCAGAGAGAAACACCTCTATGCCCCTTCCAGCCCTTTCTCTCCTTGGTAAGTTCTTCAAGGGCCCTCCATTTTGGGGAATGGCCTAGGATGACCAACCTTCATTTCTTTTCTCACTGTGCTTTTGACTTTCTGGACTTCAGCACCATGGCTTCACACAGGTACCTTCATTCCTCCTTCCTCAATCCTTTCTTGAGCTTCCTTCTGTGTGATGTCTTCCACAATTCCAATGTAAGCTCCTTGAGGGCATGGGCCATCATCCTTTTTGTTTTCATCTGTATCCCCATTGATTAGCATGGAGACTGGCAGAGAGGAAGTGTTTTTAAAATGTTTCTTGCTTTGTGTTGTCTGCCTTTGGTGAGCAGGAGGTAGAAGTGATAAAATAAATTTAAGCCTGAAGACAGTGGTTTGCTAGGGGTAGCGCTGTTCTAGAGTCCAGCGAGTTTGGCATCTAGAGCAAGGACTCTCCTTTTGGAAAGGAAGAGCCATTCTAATCAAAATTCTGAGACAGAAAAGTCCCTCCTTATGGGAAAAAAGCTGTGATCTTTTCCCTACTATCGTAACTGGGTTATAAGGTTCCTACTTTTCTAAAAAAAACAAAAGCAAAAACAAACAAAAACCCTTCATAAGAAAATCAATAGCTTTAAGTTCAAAAAGTGATGGCAGAGTCCACTCTGCCTTCTGAGAAAGAGATAACACTCTTACCAAATCTACAAGTAAAGTGAAGCTCTACAACTTTGTGCCCATGGAATCATGCCTGGTAACAGTCAGCATTGGCAATGGGACCAGTGAAGCAATGCTGAGTAGCAGCTAATGAAAGCATTGGAAGATCATCCTGGAACCGGGCTTATGGGAATAGTGCAATATACTCACCAGAAGACATCATCAGCCTTACAGCACCAGAGCTTCCCCTCCAAACATATTGGCCAACCACATGTTGATTACATGATTGAGTCCCTCACAAAAATTCCTTAAGTCTATTCATTCTTCCCATTGATGATATGTATATTTGTGAAAGTATGCATCAAGTTAATGGAGAAAATAATTCATTGCTATTTTTCTTCCTTTTACTTATTTTTCATTAAATACCTTTCACTTGAATTCATTGTGACCACTGGCTGACTATTAAAAATAAACAAGTGGATGGGGGCTCAAAATCTTTGGTTTTTGAGTAGATATAGATTGACAGAGTGCCTTGAAGCTAGGATACCTTTATCTAGGGGACCTACTGTACAAGTTGGGGGTACATGTAAGTGCTGTATTATCCCTGTGGACAAGATGGATAGAGGTAGGCTAGACACATCTTTCCATGACTGAATGCAAAGAGTAATCATTAATGGATCCATTATGAGGAAGTCAATTTAGAGAATAGTCACTAATGGAGTGCTCCAGGGTTTGACCTTGGCTCTGCACCATTCAACATATTTATCAGTATTGTGGAAGCAGACATAGATTCATGTCTATCTAATTTGCAAATGAAGCAAAACTGATTTGGATAGCTAACAAGTTATATAACAGAGCCAGGGTCTCAAAAACTCTCAAGAGGATGATGAGCCAGATCTAGTAGGATAAAATTTAGTGAGGATACATGTATACTTGAATTTTGAAAGTTTACTTCACAAGTATAAAATGGAGAAAACATGGTTTGTATTTTAAAAGGTCTGGAGGGTCTTAATAGACTGCAAGCTCATTATGATTAAACAGTGTGAAATGGTAGCTAAAAAATAGCTAATTCTATCTTAGATTTTGTGATTAGAAGTCTAGCATCCAGAGAAAGAGAAATGATAATCCTTTGCCCTGATCAGACTACCTAGAACAGGTGTTCCTAACCTTTTATGGCATAGAGATACAGCTGGGTGATGTAACAAAAAGAGTACTGGAATTGGTGTCAGGAACATCTGAGTTCAAATGTGACCTCAGACATTTACTAGTCAAAAATGTGACCTCGGGCAAGTCACTGAACCGCTGTCTACCTCAGTTTCCTCTACTATAAAAATAAAGATAATAATATCCCTAACCTCCCAGGACTATTGTGAGGATCAAATGAGATAATATTTGTAAAGCATTTAGCGCAGTCTGGCACATAGTAAGTGCTCATCTCCTTCTTTCATAGATCCCTTTGGCAGTTGGGTGAAAACCTCTCAAAAAAAGTTGGGTTTTTTGGGGTTTTTTTGGCTAGGCAATGGGATTAAGTGACTTGCCCAGGGTCACACAGCTAGTAACTGTTATGTGTCTGAGGCCAGATTTGAACTCAGGTACTCCTGAATCCAGGGTCGGTGCTCCATCCACTGCACCACCTCGCTGCCCCTAAAAAAAGTTTTTAACAGATAAAAATACAATTTACAAAGGAAACTAATTATATTGAAAATTATTTTTCAAGTTCATTTTTCATTTTTGTATTATATTCAAAATATTTTTAAAACAAGTTCACAAAGCCCAAGAACCCCTGAATAGTTTCATGTTAGGTTCTGGTCACATTTTAGGAAGGACATTGATAAACTGGAACATTTTCAGAAAAGGGGAACCAAAAATGGGGAAAGTCCTGAAAATCATTCTGTAAGTGAATCAGCAGGTATCCAGTCTCATGGGACGTAACTGATGCTTCAAGTACCTGAATGGCTGTCATAGAGCAGAGAGAGCAAATTTCTGTGACTTGGGAAGTCAGAACTTGCAGCAACAAGAGAAATGAGAAGAAGATTTCAGCTCAGTCGAAGTAGGAGCATGAAAATATGAGTTGCTAGAAATTAAAGGGCCTGCATCATATGGTATAGAGCTCCTCATTACTGGGGATATTCAGGCAGAGGGATACTGCCAGTTGTTGGAGGTGCTGCAGATAAAGATTGTATTAGATGCCTTCTGAAGTTCTTCCCAGCTCTGAGATTCTACATCTCTCTATAGCCTCCAAACCTCAGGGAATCACACACACGCGCACACACACATGTGCTTGCACACACACACGCATGCATGATTGAGGAGAATTGGCCTCTGCCGCCTGAGAATTCCCATTCTGGGGGGAGGACATGGCCCTCCCTTCAAGGAGCCCCTGATATGAAAGGGGAAAGACCTTGATCTTGAGAAACCTCCGGGGGTTCAAATCTCCTGATCATTTCTCCCTCTCATCCTTTTCTCCATTGTTTCCCACTCCCTTCATGTCTCCTTAGTTTAAAGGATGTTTTTTTCTCTCTCTCCCTCCTCTTTACCAGCTCCAACTCCATCCCGTACTCTGTCTCAACCCAGGCTCATCTGAGCCTCTCTTGTCCAGTACAGTCTTATCTTTCCCCACAGCCAGAGCTCAGGTTGGGGCAGGCTTTAACTGATAAGATTTACATTTTTATTGATTTTCCTTCATTTCCCAGCCCCTCTGTCTGCCAGTATGAAGACCCTGATACTCTGAGACAGGATCAGTCTGTGAAGTTGCATCTGGACATGCTATATTTCCTTCACCAAGGTTCATAGTCAGTGACAGCTCAAGGACAATCCTATGACTTAAAAGGCAAAATAAATTGAATTCATTTCTCTAGTCTTCTGTGTCTGCATCTGTAAAATGGGGACAATAATTCCTGCCCTGTCAATCTCACTGGGATGTTGCTGAGAATAAAGAAGAAAGCATTTTCAAACCTTAAAGTACACTGAACTCTGGAAAGTTCTTTGTAAACTATAAAATGCTTTTGTAGGTTATAAAATCCACTCACTGAAATCACAAAATGTTAAATCAGTAAGGAATCTTAGAGAACATTTAGTAAAAATCCTCCATTTTCCAGAAAGAAAAAAAACCCTATGGATCAGAGAGGGGAAGTAATTCACTTGCTCAAAACTATACAGCTCGGGGGCAGCCAGGTGGCGCGGTAGATAGAGCTCTGACCTAAGAGTCCGGAGGACCTGAGTTCAAATCCAGCCTCAGACACTTGACACTTACTAGCTGTGTACCCTGGGCAAGTCACTTAACCCTGATTGTCTCTCCTAAAAAAACAAAACAAAACAAAACTATACAGCTAGTAAATGATAGATGTGAGACTTGAACCCAGTTTTTCTAATCTAATGTCCAGAAGACAACACAACCACAGTAGGGGCTTATTATGTGCCAAGCCTTATGTTAAGTGCTGGGGAGGTAAATACAATCAAAAGGAAGACAGCACCTGTCCTTAGGGAGCTTATGGCCAAAGTCATCCACTGCATCCTGGGCCATCACTGGTCATCTTGACTTTTGTCTTACCACTGGACTTCAATGACTGGAAGAAAGAGTAAGGCTGATGATTTTGCATAACTCTGCCTGACTTAAATCCAATTCATGAGAAAGTCAAGGCATCATCCTGTGATGCCACTGGTCCTCTTCAAAAATGAAGGACAAGCAATGACACACAAAGAAGACAATACACAAAAAGGAGCTAAAAAAAATTGGATAAGGCAGAGAGGGGCAGAGTCACAAAAGCACAGGCAGGAGATTTAAGCCTAGAAAGTCAGAAGCAGAGCCAAGAGGAGAATGAAGGTTGACCAGCCTGGGCATCTCCCCAAACTGGAGGCCCCTTGAAGAACTCTTCAATGGAAAAAGAGAGCTAACATGACAGAAAGGTATTATTCTAGGGTGAAAAGGCCCCCGGGAAGGATGGATGTTCCAGAGGGAAGAGGCCCCAAATGCTGAGGAAAGTTCCAGGGGGAGACTACAGGTGAGGCATGGTGTTAAAGTTCAAGAAATCAGAAGCACAGAGAGAAGTGGAATGTAAACTGGCCATCCAGGCTTCTCCCTAGGACCACAATTCTCTTTGTAAACTGGAAAGTCTTTTAAAGACTATGAATATCTTTTGTAAATGACAAAATTCTTTATAAACCTAAATAAAATATTTTCGTGTGCTGTGTGTCACGGTCCTATCTGGAGCTGAGCCCAGGTTGGGGGCTGCCAAGAGGTAGATCTGGGAAATTCCCCGTAGCACAGGAAGACATTTTGAGAGCCAGGAAGCAGAAGGATGTGACGGAGAGGACTTTACTCAAGGACAGTCCAGAAGTACCAGGTCAGTTGCACAGAATCACAGATCAATTACCAGAATTGTGGGGTAAGACAGGAAGCAGGGTTCAAGGCAGGAGTATGAGCAAGCAACAAGATCACCAGCATTCGAGGAACAGACGGATCAGTTTCTCCCCCTCCCCCACTATCCCCAGCCCTGGTCAGTCAGGCAAGTAACAGGTTCACACACTAAAACCACCTGTCTATCATAAACACACAAATTAAAAATAAAGGACATATAAAGAAAGATGCTATCTGTGTCCAGAGGAGGAACGATAAATAGAAGTATATACAGAATCATTTTACATATATATGTACAGAATAATTTTACATATATGTGTGTGTATGTATATGTGTGTATATACATATATACATATATGTCTATATGTGTCTATTGGTAGGCATCTCTAGGGTGGGATGGGAGGAAGGAAGATAAAAGGGGAAAAAAGAAATTTACATGACAACTTTATTATATATTTTAAAGGAATAGCAGTTATACATAATAGATTTGCAGTTTCATGCGCAACCATCTTTTTATTATACATTATGAAAATGCTTGTTTTATTTCATAAATTAAAAATAAAGTTTTTTTTTTTTTAAAATCACCTGTCAAGTCAACTAAACAATTCTTTTCAACTTGTGTAACTGACTCACGTATTCATTGGGCCATCTTTGAATTGACAGGTAATGTACTAATTAGTACTACTGGAAAAAGACATAAACTAGAAGGCAGAAGACTTGAGATCTGTTTTGACTGCCACCAGCTCACTAACTGACCCTGAGTAATTCCCTTTTCTTCTTGTTCCTTGGGTTCTTTCTCTGCCACTGATGTAATTGGATTAGGTGATGTCCCACCCAGCTCTCACATTCTGGGTCCCATGTTCACAAATTCCTTTTAGCTTCAGCCTATTCTTATTATTCTTTAAACTATCTCCAGCTCCAAGATGGACACACCGACTTGCCTAATGTAACTATGATAATTGCCTAATGTAGCAATAATTATTATTGCTAGCATTTGTATATGGTGTTCAGGTTTGCAAAGCACTTTACAAATATTATACTGTTTTAACAACCAAACAACCCCAGGAGGGAAGTGTTATTATTTTCCCAATTTTACAGTTGAGGAAACTGAGGTAGAAAGCAATTATGTGACTTGCCTAGTCAGTATCTGAGGTTGGATTTTAACTCAGCCCAGCACTCTGTCCACACCTTGCTACCTACCTCCAAATATTAAAAGGATGTCAAGGTATAGGACTAAAGGGCAGGGAACCTGCAGCCTCGAGGCCACATATGACCTTCTAGGTCCTTGGGTGCAGTCTTCTGACTAAATCCAAGTTTTATAAAACAAATCCTTTTATTAAGGAGATTTGTTCTGGGAAGTCTGGATTTAGTCAAGAGGGCAGCACTTGAAGACCTAGAGGGCCTCAAGGCTGAAAGTTCTCCACCCTTGGATAGGTGATCTAGTTTATTCTGCTTGCTCCTGGAATACAGAACTAGTAGCATGAGGGAAAGTCAAATGAAGGTCACTCTAAGTCAACAAAAGGAAAAAAAAATTTAACAGTCTATGTGAATCATAAGACCAGATGCCCTCTGAGACTTCTTCTAGCTGAGATTCCAGCTGTGAGTCTCTGATTCAAATGAAATCATTCTATGCAGTCTCTCTCAATATCTCCAGCAGAGAGGAAAGGGAATTGCCTCCAAACCATGAGGTTCAATAGCTTCTGGACACATGTCCCACCTTTTCTCCATCCCCTCCCTTCTCAATGTCTTTGTCCATCATTACAGCCCCTGGTTCTCACCATACTCCAGTTTCTTCGACCTCCTATTTCCCACTGATACCTTTCCAAGTCTTGTGTTCCTTCTTAGGGAATACTCTCTACCAATTGATTCTTCCACTCAGTCAAGCAAAACAAAATTCCCAAGCACCTACTGTATGTTCAATGGTACAAGTGATGGGGAATGGAAGGCAGAAAGATCACACAGGCAATTAGTGACGGAGCTGGGATTCAAGTGGCCAAGAATGGCATGCATAGGACAGAGATAAATAGGAGATGATTTCTGCTCTTAAGAACCTCACAATCTTTCAACTCAGTCCTCCATTTTATTCACCCTACTGAATAGAATTTCATTTTCTCCAGGAAGCCTTTCTTGAGTGGACTGAATAGATGGAGGGTGGGAGGTGGGGTAGTGTAGAATTTAGAGTCAGAACACCTAGGTTTAAATCCCAACATGTGACTCTGGAAAAGTTACTGAACCTTTCTAGACTTCACTTTTCTTGCCTGTAAAATTATGAGTTGAGACCTCTGTGATATTATAGGTTACTCTATGCCAAGCATTCTGCTAAGTATTGGAGGCACAAATACAAAAAGCAAGAAACCCTCTGCTCTTAAGGATTTTACATTATAACAAGGGAACCTAGCACATAGTAGAGTGGTTATTAAAAAGGAGCATTTTGGTCTGGAAAGTCACAGGGATGGTGAATGTAGTCATATGGCAATTGATCAACACATCTTTTCCAGGAATGGTATTGTTGGTTTGATTATTATTTCCAGAGCAAGAGGCAGAGGAGAGGAATAAGGGCACACACCAAAGCAAGGCAGGAAGATAGCCATTCTGTAGTGTGATGGATCTGGGTGCTACTAGATATGGTGAATTTTCACTAATAAGAAGTTTAAGTCCCAGAGTGGGAGCTGGAGTGCCAGATCTGAAGTCGAGTGGAGCACAAGCAGGGGGATGGCCAGAGCATGATTTGGGTTCATTTCTTAGCTCTACCACAAATCACCTATGTTACCACAGCCAAGTCACCTCTCTTCTCCAGACCTTCAGTTACCTCATCTGTAGAATAAAGGGGTCAAGAAGTAGGAGTTGGATTAGACGACTATTACTAAGATCCCTTCCAACTCTAACAGTCTGTGACTATGAGCAGTCTGTCAAGATGTCAGGACCTTAGACAGCACTAAGCCACAAGTCTGAATTCAGCCCGGGGTGAAGGATAAGGCTTTTTTTTTTTACTCCTCTGGCCTGTGTGATGAATGTCCCCTAGTTTCCTTCTGATTACGGCCCTGGATGTAGGCCTTATCCGTATTCCTTTCTCCCCTCTTTGTTGATGAACTCAATTTATACAGCTTGGTCTGGGAGTGCTCCAAAATCCCTCATGTCCAGAAATCTCAGGGATTGGAGGATAAGGAAGGATAGGAGGTTTACACTGTCCTTCTGACTGGACAAGAGAGGAAAAGTGGTACCCCTGGGATGTATGGGGGAATCAAAAGGTCAGAGAGTTTGTGAGACATATCAAGACAAGGGGAGAATCATGGAGATAATAACATTGGTTCATATATATTCATATGGCACTTGGAAGTTTTGCAAGGTCCTTGCCTTCCAACAGCCCTGTGAGGTAAACTGCATGCATGATTATCATCATTTTCCAGATGATGAAGATAAGGTTGAAAAAGTTTAAGTGATATAACCACAGTCACCAGAAAGTATAAAAACATGACATGGACCTAGGTCATTGGATTATG